TGTGTGTGTGTGTGTGTATGTGTGTGTGTGTGTGTGTGTGTGTGTGTGTGTGTGTGTGTGTGTGTGTGTGTGTGTGTGTGTGTGTGTGTGTGTGTGTGTGTGTGTGTGTGTGTGTGTGTGTGTGTGAGGAAACAAATAAAAGCTACGATCCTTGTTTAGTGCTAACCTTGCAGGTCTCCCCACTCCAGTGCACCAGAAGCTACGATCCTTCATCAGCGTCGCTCCTCCTCTTATTTTTGGTTCCATAATGGAACCCCATTGTAGACTCTTTCACAAGGGACTATGAGGAAACATATGTTTATGGTATCCTATTTTTTCATTCTCTGAAGGAAATCGACAGGCCATTATTCCATATGGAATAGTTCAAGAATCATTGAACAACATGAGGCTTGTTGTAACACCCCGATTCTTTCTAGAAGATGCTTTGATGTTTTATTTGTTAAATATGCCTTTTCATGATGTTTTTTTTTATTGTTGTATGTTAGCGGGCTATGTGTCTTTAAGTAGTGAGTAAAGAGAAATAATATAGGAGAATAGATTAATTGACTAATATGTTGTGAGAGTTGATAGGTTAGGGGAAATATGATATTAATAATAGTTTTATACTATTATTTAATTAAAATAAAATAGAAATATAAGGTGTAGAGGAATAAGGACAATATGGTCTTTTGCGAGAGTAAGTTGAGGGATAAATGAGGAAAAACATAATAAAGAGGAATATTATTATTAGAAAAAGCGAAAATTATAATAAGAAAAGTCAGTTGCATCATCCGTGAAAAATTGGAAGAAAGGAGAAAGAGTCCTAGGGAAAGAAGAGGCAAGAGGCAAGGTGATCAAGGGAGGAGAGTGAAAGTTCCAATTCAGAATTTTTGAAAGAAATCTAAAGTAAGGGTGGGTAATTGTTTTCAATTGTGATTGGCATGAGAGAATAATAGAGTATGGTTTTAGTTTCTTTTGATTGGTGATGAATCTTATGAAATATTTGATGATGAATTTTGAGAAATAATTGATGATGATTCTGTGATGAAATTCGTGTGCCTTTCATGTATGCATAAATTCTGTTTTGATGTGGTTGATGATATTATGCCATTGATTGATGTTTGAAGGTTGTGTGCCCTTAAGTGTGTTAATGGTGATTTAGAGATGATGAATCGATGACGTGATGTGTTAATTTCCCTTGATTCATGTTCCATATGATATGATATGTTTTGGGATTGTCGTAGGTCAAAACTTGGGGTTTGGGGTCTGCTGAAAGGCTGAAAAATAAGAGAGATCACATAAAATCGCGTGGAAAAAGTAGTTTTCTAGGCTCTATTACGGCCCGTAATAGCTATTACAGGTGGCTGTAATAACCTTCTAGATTCTGGTACTAAAAACGTGTGAATAATGAAATTATGAACTGGGAGCATTACAGGTCATAGCAGTCATTACGGGTGGCCCTAACAGCTATCAGGATTTTGTACTGTGAAATTGTTTTTGCCATAACTTTGTAACCGTAAGTCCAAATCGAGTGTCGTTCGAAACATTGAGAAGCTAACACGAACTACTGTAAAATGATATTCTTTCCAGAGGCGGATCATGATAATTAGTTAATGCTTTTGATATTTGAAAGAAATTTTGAACTTGAAACTTGTTTATCTTCCGACGATTTTTGTTATATCTTTTTAACAATGTATCCAATTGACGAGCCGTTTGAAGTATTGGAAAGCTAACGCTCAGGGATAACCTGGTAGTGATAGATTAAGTGTTTGAATATTATAAATGTGTCTAATGTGTCAATCTAATGTGGTGGTTTATTTGATTGGTGTGTTGTCGTATTGTTGAATTATAAGTTGTATGATGATGATGATATTATGTTGATGTTTTATGACAGTGATATGACGATGATGAAATTATGTTGATGATGTTTTGTTAATGTTGGCATGCACAGTCAAGATTGGACCAATGTGTATTTGTTTTGTTGTTTTTGTTATTGTTGCATATTGTGAATCATTCATCCATGTTATTGGAACTTTGGTTCCAACTATGTTGTGGCCTCGATCCTATGGTGGGGATCAGGTTCGAGTAGATAATTCCTATGGTGGGGAATTATTAAAGCATTACCTATGGTGGGGTACAGATTTTGTTGTGCTCCTGTTCAAGAGTGAATAAGATCCTATGATGGGGATCATGTATTCTATGATGATGGAACAGAGAGCGAAATGAATCTGAGTGTTCATAACCTGGTACCACATGCATATTGAGTCAGTGAATTGCATTAACATTACATTTTTGTTGATTGGTTGTTGTTTATGATGATGATGGTGTTGGATGACGAATTATGGATTATGTAATATCCTTGTATGTTATGATGATGCGATGGGTGTGAGTAGAGTAACATGTTGTTGTTGTGAATGGTTATACATGTTTGTTGTAAGTTATCTTTCACTTAAGTAATTTATAATTGATTGTGATTACTTACCCCTTCTGTTTGAATGTTGCATCTATGTGGCATCTTGCAGATACTCAAGAGTAGACCCTGTTGAAGTAAGTGGAAGGAAGCTTTGTAGTGACTTCCATTAGTTGTCGTTATGTAGTGGAATTCTGCTCTGATCATGTAACATCGGGTTAGGGTCGAATGTTTGGATTAAACTATAATGTTTTATGATGAATCGTATTATGTTGAATATTTTAATTAAACAATGATAGAATTGAATTTTATCAAATAAGTGAAATCAATAATGGAAGTATATGTTGGACAAAGATCCATTAATATACTTTATTTAATGTGTGTATGTGATGTGATATGTCATGCCATATGAGGTTGGAACGTGATCTTATGGTGTATTCCTACAACATCAGAACATATGCAAGAAAGCAATGAGACAAATTTCTAAGCCTCACATTTAACTTTAATGCATGTTTGATTTCTTTTAAATTTTCTCCTATGATTGTAGTTCTATATTCCTAAAGTAGCTATTCTAGTAAATATGCATATCCTACTATTTTCAATCATATTTATCATGAGTTCCACTTGTTGATGGATTTCTCACATCAACAATTCTTTTTAATCTTTTTCTAAGACGGTCAATCAAAGAATCAGATCTATAACAGTATAATGCATGGTAAAATCAATCATTAGCATAACATCAAACAACAAAAGATTAATTCATATTAACTTCACATTGCTCAACATAAGAGAGTTTAGCTCATAATGAGCTCAGTACATACATCAACACTGATTCCTAAGTTAAACATTCTTAAGCACATAATGAAAAAGAAATGAAAACCTAATAATAGTTTATTCACCTTCTTGCAATCTTCAATCAGTAAGAGACACGTTTTGTCACGCTAAATACTACTGCCTTATACTCAAGAAGATAAGAAGAGAATTCTTTCACATTTGATTCAGCTCACTTCCACTCAAGTTTCTCTCTGAGTCTGATTCTCTTTCATATAGACAACCTCATCTAAAGTATTGTGAGGTATTGGGTCACATGCTTCTTGATTATCCATCACTTTTGGGTCCATGAGAATTAACATATTTCTTTTATTCTTTTTCTTTCGTACCAAACCTGTTGTGTAGAGGGGGTAAGTTACGCTCTACAGCGACTGTACTATTTTACAGTCGTTTGTCCTGTAGCATTTTGATCTTATCGATTTACTTTCAAGCTCAACTTCATGCTTTCAAACTAGTCTCTTTCCATCTATGTCTTCTTCTTGATGCTCTCCTATTTTTTCAGCATCTTTTGGCCTTAAAGCTTGTTGAACATCGGGTGTATTCTTGGTGCGATATAACTCATCACCAGAGTGACTTTTGTACAAACACAAAACACATAAAATTCAAAAAATAGAGCACATAGCGCGCTCTCGACTAATCTAGCTAAAAACAACAAAACTTAACTAAAAATACAAATTAAAAAAATAAAGCAATACAATTTCAAGTGTTGAGAATTTAAATAACTAACCGTATATGAGTTATCACCGACTCTCCAATTTATTCAAACCTCTTTTGAAGTCTTAAAGTCCAAGATATGATACACCATCCTCTATAATACACATTGACACATCAATCTTGTAACCTTCTCCTTTATCTTCACCTAATCGATTTTCTCAATGTTTGTTGATTTCTTTCCACGAAACATTTTTTGTAATCTTTATCAATCCAACAAATCTTTAACCCTCCATTTTCATAATTCAAACTTGCTTGTTATGTCAAATATTGTCTATTACGGTTAACGACCACCTAATACCAATTAGCAACTAGTAAAAAGAAAAAATATATATATAAATCACAAGACAAAAATACAATATTGTTTTTGTAATTCGATCAATTATGCCAAGGGCCAAGGTAGAAACCATGCTCAGCATAGTTGAAGAGATTAGGCACCACCAATGTTTTATGACCGAAGAGAATCTTATTCTGATTGTATCCACAGAAGCAAACACCTAGGTGTGCTGGCAAAATTTGAGCTTAGTTTAAAAATAATTCATGGACACATACATTTAAAGACACCATTAGGACAATATGGTTTTGACCATGTTTGTGGATTAGGGGGGAGTAGGGGCAGGTAAGGTATAAAACTAAAAAAGATACTAAAAATTACCAAAAGCTGGCACAAAGACAACAGTTAAACTTGTTTGGACCTGTAATGGTTAATGCGAAACTATAAAAAAAAACATAAAAAGTACTCTCATGCTTTATTTAATTTTCTTTTGTTTCTGAGACTACACAACACACTACTACAACACTAGTCTCTTGTTCTGAGTGTACCATAGGCTGCAATGCACTGAACTGGCCTCTGCCAACAACATGGCCCAGCGTCAAGTCTCTCCTTTCTTCCATCTCCTCTTTTGTCTTCAACTTTACTTTTTCACTTTCATCTCTCAAATTTATTAAACAACCACCAACCCTTACACCAGACCCCCACTCTCTCACTCACACTCACTTCTCTTACTATCATTTATCTATCAGCTACAACAATGAATACAATCTAGTTATTCATTACCAAACCTCACCAATGGATTCAGGCAACTCTTCTTCAGAAGAGTGCTCTCTTAATGGCTTGAAATTCGGCCAGCGTATCTATTTTGAGGATACATCTCTTGCAAACTCCTCCACTGCTAATGCTAATGCTAATGGTTCTTCTTCTTCTGGTTCTAGAAAAGGAAGAGGTGGTTCGGTTCAACATTCTCAACCTCCTAGGTGTCAAGTTGAGGGTTGTAAAGTAGATCTGAGTGATGCTAAAGCTTACTATTCTAGACACAAAGTTTGTAGCATGCACTCTAAATCACCTACTGTTACTGTTTCTGGTCTCCAACAAAGGTTTTGTCAACAGTGTAGCAGGTCTTTTTTACCTTTCTAACCTAACTCATTCTTTTTTTTTTCTTCTGGAATTAGGGCTACTAGGGTCATTTTATATTATTTGTTTAATATTTATGTATTTATTCTCCAGGTTTTATTGAAGGTGTGATATTTCTATCCTATGTTATCCTGTTTGGTCGGTTCAGCTTTAGTACTAGCTTTTATTACAACAATAATATTCTTTGCTTGTTTGTGTTGTTACTTGGTAGAACTTTTGATTGTGCTTTTGCTTTTGTCCAAGTTTGGGTTGTGTTGAATGTGTTTTGGATGTACTTTACTTTTTTCTTGTCATAGCTTTAAACTGCTAATCTGAATAGTGAATAGTGTTTTCCTTTTCAGGGAATTTGATTCTTCTTTTTATACTTTAAAATTGCTAACTCATTTTTGCATCTCAGTTGTGTTAGATACTTACTTTGCTAGTAATTAGTTTTATAAATTTAATTGTTTGATTATGGAAACATGTTTGATTTGTATTGCAAGAGCAGTTCCTTTGTTGATCTAAATGAACCTAGGGCTCTTAAGGTCTGCTTAATGATAATTATCTGCTAATGGGAGTTTGCGAGTGGCTGCATCGTTTATTGTGTCATCGGTAATTCTGGGCTGGCCAAAATAGTCACGCATTGTTTGGGAATCGAGGCTAAGGGTAGTTTATATACAACACTCACACTTGTCAACCTAGCGAGATGCATTTTCTAAAGGATAAAGTTGTGAGGTTTCTCCCACCCAAAGCGGATAATACCTTATAGCTGCAGTGACACTAGCTTGAGGCCGACCGGAACATTGGCCCGTCTGTATTTTTCACTGTGCCCCTAAGCCTCGATTAGGGGCAACTAAGATGGACAAATACTCTTTTATTGTGAGATGTTCATACACAAGTTATGTTATGCCAACTCATGTTATTGTGCATGCATAGTGTATAATTGATTTGTTAACACCTTATTGATAATGAGTCTATTGATGTTGCTGGATAATGTAAACCAAGTCTTGCTTTGGTTTTGTAATTATTCATTGCCGTTCTGTTTTACAATTCTAGCTTCATCTTGTGTACTTTCCTTTGTTAGACTTAGTGGGATTATGGCTCATCCTGGGTTGGAAATGGTTTTCTGAATGAAATATCATAACTCTGATCTGTAGTAGTTAAGAGGTGCATGTTTTGTTCCATAATGTGTGAATTATTGGAAAGTGGACTTGAAATAGTTCAATAATACCCTTCTGAATGTGCCATTGTAAACTGCATCTGATAGTATCCGAGGTATATTGGTACAATATTTTAATAATCTAATCCTTTCGGTATGCTTGTGTGAATTCATCTATCTTCGACATAAATTGGTATGGTTATAATTTAGAAATGCTAATATCATTTTTTCATAGCTTTTTTCAGGTTTCATCAGCTTGCTGAGTTTGATCAAGGAAAAAGAAGCTGCCGCAGACGACTAGCTGGTCATAATGAGCGTCGCAGAAAGCCCCCACCCAACTCTCTCTTAACCTCGCATTTTGCCAGACTTTCTTCATCTGTTTTTGGTTAGAAACTATCAGTAAAATTTCAATTTTAAATCCATCTACTATCAATTTTTGTTCTATTGGTGATTTTCCAACCTGTACTATATTTTTGACATGCTAAACAATTTCAAATACTTGACACTTTTCTCGACAGATAACAGCGGTGGAGGTGGCAGTTTCCTGATGGAATTTGCTCCACACCCGAAACTTAGTCTGAGGAATTCACTTCCATCATCTGGGAATCAAACCACAACTCTTGGTTGGCCTTGGCCGGGAAACTCGGAGTCGCCGTCTGACAACTTTTTCTTGGAAGGTTCGGTGGGTGGGACAAGCTTCCCTGGTGCCAGGCATCCTACCGAGCAAAGTTACACCAGAGTCACAGATTCAAGCTGTGCTCTCTCTCTTCTGTCAAATCAAACATGGGGTTCTAGAAACACAGAACCAAGTCTTGGATTGAATAACATGCTGAATTTCAACGAGACACCCATGACACAACTTGCTACATCTTCTCACGGTGTAGCCATGCATCAACTTCCAAACACTTCATGTTATTTCAAAGACATTGATCCCGGTAACCTTTCACACGAGGTTGTCCCCGATCTTGGTCTAGGTCATATGTCGCAGCCTCTCGATAGCCAAATTCATGGCGATCTTGATCTGTCACAGCAAGGAAGGAGGCATTATACGGATGTAGAACACTCCAGGGACTATGAATCTTCTCAATGGTCACTGTAATGCACTCGTTTGGTGTCAGGTTTGTAATATCATGTTTCGCGAATATTGGAACTCAGGAAAATGAGAAGTTAACTAAGGCACACTTGGTTATTTGCTAGTTTGATACTATTGTTTGTTTAAACTGATAGGCCAGGTGGGCTAGCCTTGCTTCATTTGCGAAACTTTCATTTTTTGAATATTTGCTTAGTCATCGTGATTTAAGTTGTATGAAGTTGTCTGATGTGGATTTGAATTTGTAGTCATTCTGATTGCGGGAATTGTTGGGTGAATTTATTTTATGTTTATTGAATGCGATGAATCATCTTAAAATCCCATCTCTTGCATCCCTATCATATCATTTTCGGGAATATGATTCTATACCTTTTCTTTTACATTATCTAAACGTAGTGTCAAACCATTGTTCTCCATTAAAAGTTATTGTATGCTTCACAATGAATCGTGTTAGGAATAAGTGACGGGAACCTTAAATAGAATAATTGTACTTGTTTTTAACTTGGAAATGGAGTACCTTGTCATTTTTGTGCATAGAGCATGTGGTTTTGGTACTCCAGTTGCGTTGCTTCTTCTGATTGGGTTGTCATGTATGAAATTTCTGTTTTCTACAAATGTTATCTTGAAAGAGTAAGAATAGTGTAGTAGTAATATCAGCCATGAAATAAGGAGCTCTATGAGATGATTCTCCCCCAGTTATAAATTTTGTATGTTCAGATATCTTTACTTGAATCGACTTACTCGAACCATGTGAAGTGTTTTATATTTAGAGTCTTTGCTTTGAAACCAATGGAAGGAAAATAAATGTTATGAGAAGGAGAGATAAATTGTGACCCTTTTACAAATTTGCTTTATCTTAATACAATTTTCATTTCACTCTTTTCCTTCGTATATTCACATATATTTACTTAGTGTTAGGGTGCTAAATTTGCAGTTACCTCCACTCCACCGCATTAGAGGTAACGATCAACCGTCACCTCCAATATAAGTTTTTCATTTTTAGTTCTAGGACGTAACATAGAACAAAACAATTGCATCGTCTATAGAAATCGATTTTTGATTCTTATGATTTTCACAAATTCACGTTTGCTATTTGACTTTCGCAGTTCGTAACTCTTTCTGATCACCAGAGCATGTAATCGTAATCAAACACGAAGATATTTAGTGTTTTGATTCGACTTAGCATAACTTCAGCCTCACTTTTTCAAGATTTTTGAATCACCGATATTCATTTTCAACGAATGTGGTTGGACCCAAGACTACCAGATCCGTTGTGGCACAAAAAGTTGTTGTTGCCTCCTTAGCCGCAAGTAATAAATCATCTCTTTCTCCACAACAGAACACCGTCGATCCTAGAGTGTTAATTCCTTCACATCTGTCTCAAATTCGAGTTTCACAAGTGGTAAGTTCAGTTTTGATCAATTCGCTGGAGTCTCATGTTTTGATTCCAACTACGGAACATGAAACCATATTTGACTTTCACACGTTGTAATCAAACCTCAGCGTACAAGGCGCCAATGAGTTATTGAACAACATGATCAACTCTGGTTGACAATAGAACTCAAATGCTATTGAAGAAAGACTCCAATGCCTTGAAGGGAGCCTCCAAAACGCTCCCTCCCGCGAGAATACTATTCAAGAAGCTGTTTCATAAAAGACTCACATTGCGATCCTAGAACCAGTTGGGACGAAGGGAAATGAGGCTCGCAGGTCAAAGGATCTGTGCAAAAGTAAAAAACATTACACTCCCCCTCTAAGTCCCAGAGGAGACCAGGGAAGTTATGCTTCGATCTCGGTTCAAGCAGAAATTCACTTGGATAAGGTGCAGCCAAAACACCCGTTGCCGGTAAGAATTTTGGAAAGTGGGATCCCAAAGTCTATGGAGAAGCCGCCCAAGCTAACCAATTATAACGTGAAGGGAGATCTTAATGAACACATACAACTAGTAAACGAACAATTTAATTACTTTGGTGCTGATGACGCTGCCAAGTGCAAACTGTTCACGTTAACCTGGAGCAACTCGGTTATGGCCTTCGAATTTTAAAATAAGAGCCTCATTTGACAAAACCACCACCACCATTGGATTCCTTAGAAAATTTTAAGGAAGTTTCATCTTTGTTTCATCCATTTTCATGGAGAAATGGAGAAGTTAGGATAGGTTTTGCATCAGGTCCAAAACTTGAATTTGTTGGGCAAGACTTGGCTTTGGGCGCCCTGGTCAGGCCTAGGTCACTTATAGGTATATCAATTAATGAATGGGGTGATACAACGGATGTATCATCACCCCAGTGGTTTAACCTGTGCGCATTGTGCACTCTGAACCATTGAAACTGGGGTTCGAATCCCGCTCCAATTTCTTTTATTTTACTGGAATTTCAACTGAATAACAGATATAATAACATGCCCTCACCATATTAACATAATGCACGCGCAGTAGGGTTGTTTATTGTTTTAAACCGTGAGCGAAGTGTCATGGGTTCAACACCCATGGAAGACATTCCCTTCTTTTTTTTATGACTTATTTTCTTGTTTTTCTATGTAAATTCACATATTCATAACTTTCTCATCTTTTATTTTGAATACATATACTTGCTTGAACTTCACTGTAATTGCTCCCATAGATTAAATCTTTGCTCACATGTTCAAGTATTTCCTTCATAAACTCTTATCATGATGAATATATGTCTTTGTTTGATGCATTACATTTCAAAACCTTATGGGCCTCTGTTAGAGTGTAAGACCCATTATATTTTAAAAACCTTTAGGCCTCTTATAAAGTGTAAGACCCATTACCTTTTCAAAACCTTTTGAGCCTTTGTTAGAGTGTAAGACCTATTACATTTCCAAAAATCTTTTGGGTCTCTATTAGAGTGTAAGACTCATTTCAAAACCTTTGTGCCTCTATTAGAATGTAAGACCCATCACATTTTAAAAACATTTGGGCCTCTATATCAGTGTAAGGTCCATAACATTTTCAATTCAATCATGCTTAGACATGAGCCTCTATTATAAGACCCTCCACTTTCAATTCATGTAAATACTTGCAATATACTTATTCATATTAAGTTTCTCTTGACATTTATAAAACCTCGTCCTTAGTTTAGACTTAGTTTAAACATTAGGGTTCCCTCAATTGCAACTTAAGTCAAACCCTAACTCCCCTTGGATGAATTCAACTTGATCACCAGCCTCCTCTTAGGCTTCATACAAGGACCCCCAGACTTCTCAAAAACACCATAGCCTCCTGTCATACCCTAAATTTTGACCACAAGACTTCACATCATTGTGCCAATCATCACCATAATATGGATGAATTTTTATACCTCACCAATCTTCTCAAAGATTGTTGAGTATTCACCTTAACCAAGGATTAGGGTTTTGAGCTCTCTCATAGCATTCAGGTAAGGGATCAATCAAGAATTTACATGCTCTTCAACTTGTCAAGCCTCTAAAAAATCCATGAAGGATAAAGAGATCCTCCCCATCAAGAATTTAACACAAAGTTGCACCATTCCAAGTTAAGCAAGCCTCAAGACCATCAGTGTCACCAAATTAGAGTTTTGATCGACCAAGGCTTCTAAAGAGAAATTTTCATCTGGGCATAAGCTAATAATTCAATACATGATTCAAGAAGATAAAAAGAACCTCATGAGTCCATTCATAAGTTCAAAATAGCCTCACGGGTTTGCATCTATCAAAAATCAGGAATTTGGGTTTTGACCTAATTTAGTCCCTAGGTTGACATTTGAAGTAAGGCATGATCCAATACCTCAAGATATGTTTCAAGGACCTTAGATACATCATATTGATCCATTAATAATATTGGATTGATTCAAAGAACTTGATTCATAAGCAATACAAAGATTCATATTCGTTTAGACCACAAACTAGGGTTCTTGAGGAAAAGTCAACCATACCTTTGACTTTTGACCAAGACATGATCTCAAACCTTGGGACATGATTCAAGACACTAAAAAAACTTTGGAATCTATCAATTAGGTTGAATTTAGCATAAGGACTTGATTTCATAAAGGATCACAAAGTTCAAGTTACATCTAATGTAAAAAGTCAACTTTGATCAAAACCAAGTTTGGCTTTTGGAGTTTTTTTGGCAAACATGGCCTCTTTAAGTCAATAACAATGCTAAATTATGATTTGGATCATGATCAATCAAGAAAAATGAGGTTATTTGAAAAAAGGGCAACCTTGAGAAACTTGAAATTTTACTAAGTTATGGAAATAACTTGATTTTTACCCAACGTTGCAAGGCCATAACTTGTGATCCTAGCAACCATTTTCTCCCATCAAAAGCTCAAATGATAGATATTCTTACATACAAAAAGATTTCAAAGCTGAAGTACCCTAAAAAATTCCTAGATTTTCATATATGAAGCATTAAAGTTAAGGTTTCATGAGATTTGAAACTTTGACACTTAGAAAATTTTAGGCAGAATCTGCCTCATGTTTTGCCTAAATTTGGAGGAATTTTTCATTATAATCTAAGATGAATCAAGACCAAATGTAACCATCAAAGTTGAAGTATGATATACAAGCTTTCCAAAAAGTACAAGAACATCTTGATTCAACTTGAGTAAGAAGTTATGAACCTCACAACATGCCTTGCTACAAACTATTTTTTGACAACATTTGGCACATAACTTGTCTCCCACGATTTCTTAAGCCAATTTTGGACACTTGCATCATTGGATTTCTGTACAATATCAACATGAATGATGCGTAATCTGAACCATAACACCAAGAAGTCAAGAACCTCATCCTTTAGGCATGTGGAAATCAATGTTGCAAATCCAAATCTAATTTTGTTATATGGCATTGAAAGGATGCATTTAGGTGGCATGAATCAGTTCATATCTATCCAAATGAGTCAAGCTTTATCCAAGTATCAAAAGACCTAAAACCTGCAAGTTCAGTCCAAGTCAATGGCTAGAGGAGACTTTGAACACCTAGCCATATCCATCAGACAATAGGGTGATCCAGCCTCCATTCAC